GTATGTGGGAAGAGGTGGGGCGGCGCCCCTAGCGCCCCTATGGGCCGGCCGCCACTGCGGTTAAGGTATATATGATTGACTCAATACTATAATACATGACTTTGAGAGTAGACAATCTATGCCCAAGGACATCCAGCTGGCCCGCCGCATCCGCGGAGAGAGGGCTTAAACTGACCCGAGACCAGCCCATCGAAACACAAAGGCTCTTTTAAGAGCCACCTCACTCTTCACTGAAAGCCTCCTTCCTGACTAAAGAGCGATCTGCGAAAAATCTTGAGGGTTTTGATAGCATTACAATACTTACATGTTTCTGCTAGCAAAGGTTACGCTAATATTAAAGAAGAAACAAAAAATGCAAGAATTCATACATGTTTATTATGAAATAAATCAAACATTTTGTAATGAATGTTATATTACAGAAAAGGACAAGCTCAACCGTAAAACTGTAGGACCACAAGAACAAGAAACTAGGGGAGTGTGTGAAAGTGGCTAGTTATCACAGAGTTCTTATGTAGCTCAGCGTATGTTCAATCAGGAAGACAACATCATCGGGTGTCACACGTTATTTCAATAAGTGATCAGGGGCATTACGCCCCGGCTAGCCAATCATTGCACCTGCTAACCTCTTTAAATCTGCTCTCCCCTTCCTGTCAGTTGTCATTTCAGGTGTCAACGCACAAGCAGCAGCAGGGCTTCGTCCCAGCTCCAGGCATTATTCCTCAGTTCCGCAGTCTTGCGGATTAAGCTACAAGCGGCGTCCCCCAGTCGGCTAGCGGTTTCAGCCGGCCGCCCCGCAAACCCGGACGCGGGAGGAAAAGACAAGGAAATCGGGCTCCACGGAAGTTCCTCCGGCTAATGGAAATGGGCTACTTCACGCAAACAATTGACGCACGCCTTCAGTCTCTCAAGAGGGCATCACCGGCATCAGGGCCGCTCAAATGTGGCGCTTCCGGCTTCACGCGGAACGGGTCCCCATCGCATGCGAAGCTTTACCCATTGGCTTCAACCACAACCCATCCTGCAGGCAGGCAGGGCGTAAGCTACATCCCATTGAAGCTACTTCCTCCTGCGCCTCACCTCTAAAACAGGCGTCAGGGTAGCGCTGGCAAGAGGCAGTTGCAACAAATTCACGAGATGTTTCGTATATCGTTATGACATTTGGGTCATCCAGAGTGAGATCGCTACCCCTTTAAGAGAGGGGTGTGGCGTGTGCGCGGGCATGGTATGGTAGAGCGAGCGAGATACATGTTTTCTAGAAATAACGAGGCAGCAGAAAAAAGGAAGGTCTGTGATCTTGCGAAACAGAAGAGCTAAATAAATGCAACGACCTCCCAAGAAGAGCTCGCCTTCTCCAGTATCTCCGATAAATGGGTTATTGAACCCGAAGCGTGTTGCTTCTGCCCTGGGAGACGACAGAGAGTCATCCCCCCCGTTTCCTCGACTACGGTCTGGGAGCCGACAGGAAGTTCAACACTATGCATCGTTTCTAATATGCAAGACAACAAATGCGTCTATGATGTATTTTCGATCAGACGAGATCTCTCTCCCCCGTCTGTGTGCGAGGGGGCGGGGCAGTTTACACACACGCAGCTGCTTCATGCAGCGGAGCACACTGCGGAGATGGCGGAGAGAACGCGCTCCGAGGTGTGGTTAAACTTTACCCGTCTCGATGTGGAGAATACTTGTTACCATAAGTGCAATAAGAGTTTAGCATGTAAGGGCGCACGAGCAATTTGTCTAAACATTTAGCAAAAGTGCACCGCATGCAGACGGAGAAATGCACCGGGTTCGACCGTCTTTCTAGCAGCCCTGTAGCCCCATTCACGAGTACGTTTCCACGTCAGGTGTTATGTATGCTAGCAGCAACACACGGAGTTAACTACATTATACAAAAATGGGTTAATGATTAGAGGTAACTGAGTTATTTAGTTTGTTAAATTTCAGCTATTCTGTTTACAGTCTGTCATCAGATTATTTAATACGTTTTGTTAAAGGCTCAGGGCAATCTCGATGACAAAGGTCAATGTTCCCCCCCTTTCTACGCACGGAGATAATGTAATCTTAATAGTGCGCAGGCCAAGGCTGGCTCTTCAAAGCAGACATTAACGACGCGCTTTAAAGTTCCCATCATCGTTCAGCGGAACTCTTTCAGCCTTAAGCGGCAGTCAAGTAAGGAGAAACTACGTGTGCACCGGCTATTCGGGTAAATAATATTAATAGCTGTCTCTCCCCAGTTCAATCACCCACTGCTCAGGGAGATCTCCTCATGCGTTGCCTTTACGCATCTAGTGTTCAAATACAACATTACTAACCTATAACTCCGCTCAACTGGGAAAAGAGAAGAAGAAAGAAGAAGAGAATCCTCCAGGAGCACAGCGTTCCTAATCATGAGGAACTATAGGCCCAGTCACACACCTGGAGTTCCTAGGCATCACATCAAGCTCATGGTATTAACGTTCCTCTAACCAAACTGCGTGCATCCACATAAACGTCTTCAACGACAGTTGCTCCTCCTCATCGGGCAACCGTACTTTACATGCGGATATTCTTCGGCACGCCATCATCTCCCGTTTCCTGGACGTGGCATCCGTCGGCCTCATGACGACCGCGTTTTCCCCGACTTAAGGACGTGCACCGCACATCCTCCGTTTTGGGGGGGACATCTGCATGAGATCATCCGCATAGCGGCACACTCAGATTTCCACTATTGCTACACATTTATTATCACACTCGCTGGATCTAACGCCTCGAAAGAAGAAGTCAATCTAAAAAGCATCCGGGGCCTCTTAGCAGGAGTGCAGTTTAACGTTCGCTGTTCCGATCCTGGCTTCCCAGCTGTTCGCAAAACAGTCAGTCAAACTCATCCTCAAAGGTCTCATTAGAACTTCTCCCCCCGTCTTAGACCGGAGACGCCCTATTACACTCTCCACTTTACGCCTCATGCTCTCCAAACTTAGAAGTGAGTTATTCTCCCCTTATATCAATGCGCTACTCGACGCTCTATTTCTCCTAGCTTTTATGCCTTTCTCAGACAGGTGAATTTACCACAGCTTCCCTTACATTCGATTCCAATCGAGACGTCAGCTTCTGACATATCCTTTCACGCTAGCCACTTTAGCTTATATCTTAAACACTCCAAATGCGGCGGCGCTGCTCCGTCATCGCCGCCCGCATCGACTCCCAGTTCTGCCCTTATAAATCCATGATCAAATTCCTGCATCTTAGACCTTCCATTAATCCTCTCTCACCACTATTTCTATTTCAGGGGATATTCCCTTAACTCAACACCAGTTCAATCATTACTTAAAGCAAGTTCTCATTAGATCCGGCTTATCGCCCCAATTATTCTCGGGGCATTCGTTCAGGATAGGCGCAGCTACCTCCGCTGCTAATCAAGGCGTCTCATCCTCATCCCTGCAACAACTCGGACGATGGTCCTCCTCTGCCTTCACATCCTACATCCGCCCGGACATCAGTGCCGTGCTGGCTATCCAAAGGTCCCTCAAACACTAAAAGATGGTAAATATATCTATAACTGGTGGTGGTAACACGTCAGCATGTATACGTGTCTACGGTTCCGTATCTGTCAGGCTATGACTCCGGATCTGCGTATGCTAATCCTGCAAGTGCAGGTTGCGAACGTGGGTCCGAGTCACGTTGCGGACACAGGTCCGCGGTTAGGTTTAAACCGGCGGGTGCAGGTTGCGGACACAGGTCCGTGTTTAGGTTTAACCCTGCGGGCGCAGGTTGCGGACACAGGTCCGCGCTTAGGTTAAACCCTGCGGGCGCAGGTTGCGGACACAGGTCCGCGCTTAGGTTTAACACTGCGAGGGCAGGTTGCGGCCAGTGGGTCTGCGTCATGTTAACCCTGCAGTGCAGGCTGCGGCCAGTGGGCCCGCGCATGTCTAACCCCGCAGCCCGGAAGCGATTCCTGCGCTCATCATGTCCCCATGTTAATCTCTCTTTTCATCCATAGATCTCCGCAGCCAGCCGCAAGGTAAGGATTGCTCACAGCTCCGTACTTCATACTTCACTTCTTTTGGGGGTTCATCAGAGCGGTTCTTTCCCTCCTGAATGATCATCCTGCAAACCCAGGGCCTAATCGCCAAAACATCATTACAGTTACTTGTTGTAATACGTCAATCACTATTCCCGCATATCATGTGTCCCGATAATAAACATGTACTCATACATCACGTCTCTCCTGATTGAAATGTAGCTCAGCGTAAGTTCAATCAGGAAGACAACATCATCGGGTGTCACACGTTATTTCAATAAGTGATCAGGGGCATTACGCCCCGGCTAGCCAATCATTGCACCTGCTAACCTCTTTAAATCTGCTCTCCCCTTCCTGTCAGTTGTCATTTCAGGTGTCAACGCACAACCCTCCTCCACCCCTTCGTCTCCTGTCTCCTAAATACAGGGCTAAGCTAAACCTTCTCCCTTCAGATCGGACTGAACTACTATCACCACCACCAGTGTCTAGACCCCGGGGGGTTCATCAGAGCGGTTATTTCCCTCCTGAATGATCATCCTGCAAACCCGGGGCCTAATCGCCAAAACATCATTACAGTTACTTGTTGTAATACGTCAATCACTATTCCCGCATATCATGTGTCCCGATAATAAACATGTACTCATACATCACGTCTCTCCTGATTGAACTAGGATCTCTAAGAAAAAAACAATGAATAAATAACATAAACCAAAACGGTCGGAGTAGAAGGAAAAAATAAAGGCAAAAAAAACGTGTCTTTTTTTGTTTTTGCGTTAATGCCTGCAGTAAGAAAATAGAGGGATGTGGTATTAACTGAGGTGGGTACTACTTAAATATTGGTTCAATAATACATTGGGTGGGTAATGGTGAGCACATGTTACACTGGGGTCACCTTCTACCACCTATTCATATCCGTCTTTTATAATCACTTCCTCAATAATGTCTCTTAAGAAAAACACGCTGTTTCAATCAATAAAGATGGTTGAATTACAGACATGGTAGATTTGATGAGACCACCCACAGGTGGTTTTATTTTTAAAATGTAGGCCCAGTGGTCACTGTCAAGCTATAGTTCAAACATAACATATAATAAACTTATAACGTACAGAGTCCATCCCATACTGTACTGTCTGGACTGGACTGGACTGTCTTGGGTAAAATAGTAAGAATAAAACCGTTGAGTGCACTAAGTGGAAAACACAATGGAAAATGAAATCAGCTTCTAGTTGCACAATTTAAAAATAAAAGGGCTTGAGTCAATCCACATTCACTGTATTTAACCCAGTAAGTGGATTTCCTTTAAAAAATAAACAATACAAATAATACATAAACACATAGAACAGTGAAAAGCGAAAGTAACAAAAGTCCTTAAAACTCCCAAATTTCTAGAAACGCGACTCAATATTACATAAAATAGACTACCATTGCTACTACTATTTCATAACAAAGCTGAAAGATGAACAACAATTAATAGGCATACGGATGTGAGAAGTAATATCAAAAGCAAACATCATGACTTTCACTCAAACAAAACAATAAAACATATAATTTTGTTACACTTGTACTGTAACAGGACAGGGAATAGTATTTAGACTGTATTTAGGCTTGTACAGTCCTTTAATGATGAGGAATATCTGGGTGTTGGTTGATCAATAGACGGATTTCAAGTTGGATAGGTACCTTACTTCTATAAAAGTGACTTGCAACACATGCTACTGATTTGTATGGTGTGTATTTTTAAGAAAGAAGCCTTTGAATACCCATTTAAAAAGTAGCATGTCAATATCAAGAAAAAGCCTTCATGCAAAAGGATGCGTTTCATTTTTGCCTGATAGTCAACCCCAGATCACAACTCCACCTGGTGACACATCCTGGTAAAAAAACAAATGCTTTTATACTTTGTGGAGCATGCTACTGGTTGGGCACACCCAAATCTTGCATCACTATGATGTAGCCTTTAAAAATCCCAGTTATTCCTTATCAAAGGGCTTTAAAAGGGAGTGTTCTCACAATAAAAAGGCTGCATAGGTAACAATAGAAGACATTGGCCTATGTTTGGTTTCATGCCTATAAAGAAAAACCCATGTTGAGAACAAGTCTGATTGTATCACATAGTGCAAATTGGCCGTAAAACTTGTTGCTGCTTAACCGAGGATTCTATAGTCATGGGCCTCCCACCATGGTTGATATTTTAAAGAGAAACTGAATATTATAGCACAGCAAACAATTCAAACTACACAAAACAGCATAGTTCTCTCTGGATGCTCTCCTCCCACCTGCCTACTTTTTAAATGCAACCCAGTTTTCTGTTATTGTATCCCATACCTTTCTCCATTCCCTCCCTCCCTTACCAGCAAAGTGAACTTTGGTCTAAGAAAACAGCAGTTTTTTTTAACTATGCATAATTAGGGTTAACAAAAGGCATGTTCCCAAATGTGAGGCGTTGCAAAAACAATGAACAACGCAGTCACACTGCTTTTCTTTTTCAACACCTTACTTTTGACGCATTATTTTCAATTCAATCTTTTCTACTCTCCTCTCTTCTCTTTCCTTTGCCTCCCCTCACTACTGGCATCTGTTACCCCCCTTCCATTATTTTCACAATTTGTATTGATAGAAAATATATCTTTTGGTAGTTAGATCTTTCCATCAAATCATGTAAGACCTGGAAAAAAATAAATAGAAGTCTGAGTGATTTGATCTATACTTTATATAGATACTCATTTGACTCAAGAAGCAACTTCAACCTCGGATGTGTCATATTTGCAATACGATGCAATTCAATTCAACCTCTCATAATCCTTCCTTTGTATTTAAATATATACAACTACTTTTTGCCCAGGTCTGTTGGATACTTATTCCTGTGAATCCTTAATTGTGGAGTTTGGTTCACTTTCAATTCAATCAATTAAGGAAGTTGTGTTTCTTCTAAATGTAAAAAGGTAAGAACAATGTTTTAAGTGTGGAAAGAAAAATCATATCAGACTAACAAGGAAACAAAGAACACATTTTGAAAACATTGGTCAAAATTGCAATTTCAGATGAGCTTTTTTACAGTTGATTATATTGAAAGTGAATGGACAGCCAGCCCTGGTTTTTCTTCTATTCCTCCAGTACTTCCTCCTTCTCTTCCGCCTCAGCGCATCTTGTGTTCAATGTCAGCGTTGGCCATGTTGGAGCCAGGGCTGGGGTCCTGCTGTCAGCTGGACTGGGGAGAGAGAGGGATGGAAGGATGAAAGAGGGAAAGAAAGAAAGAGTGATGGAGCAAGACACAAGAAAGGGTATAGAGGGAAAGAGATTGATTGAGTACATTTTTCAAGGACGAACAGGTGTAAAGTCAAACTGGTAACTCTTAACTTGAATATTAATCTCAAAACAGTATGCATCATAAAGTTATAACTGATTACAACAATATTAAACTGTGTTGTGAAGTATTAACTGTTTATACCCTAATTAATCTAATTAATTAATTATGGGAGCAGTCAAGTTTGTTAACACTTGAGAAATGTCTTATATTTGGTTACAATAGAATAGAAGAATATAATTGGGAGGGATGAAACCCTCTTTAATGGTCACACATGCAGAGCACACAGCACACAGTGGCATTTGTTCTCTGCATTTAACCCATCCTAGCACACGGAGTCTAGTACTAGGAGCATGGGCAGCTAGTGTACAGCGCCCGGGGAGCAATGGGAGTGAGGGGGGAAGGGGGAGGTCCGGTGCCTTGCTCAAGGGCACCTACTCTACTCTATGGTAAGTTTTTAGCCCTACAGTATGTGTTTTTTAAAAGGGGGTTGTATTATGCACTTATCCATTGTCATAGTTTTACATACAGTAGATATCGGTTGGCCCGCTACCTATTTGAAAAAAACATGATTTTTGTGGACGGATGCAGCAGCAATGCGTTTGAGATACCTAAAACAAAAACCTAGCTATAAAAACGAATATCAGTTTTGGAGTACGTAATATTAAGACTACTTTGACCACGTTACTCTGCCTTTAGACAGCCAAAAACAGTCATTTTCACCTGCAGCAAATGGTAGTTGCTGGTGTTCCATTTCCTTTAATCTGTTAGTTTGTTTGTGTTATTATAAGTCATTTTTGTGTTTTAAGGGGTTAATTTGGATTCACCAAAGTCACACAAACTAACTGTTCGAGACAGTGGTATACCAGCAACTCCCGTGTTCTGGGAGGTACAATTATTATTTGTTAATGGAAACTGGTGGCGTTGAAGAGAGTATAGATTACAGATTCAGTTCTCCATCTGAAAGTGATAACACAATTCTACATTTAAATATATTTGGCTGCTGCCTTCTTTCACAGCAGTATGGTTTTCATTATGATATTCCTGTCTGATTCTCCAACAATCTGTTGAAAGTAAAACACTGACTATGGATAAGTAACTCATACAACACCACTTCAGCTAGTCGGTAACCAACGCGTTCTCAAATGTGAAAACATCTATACTTAATCTACAACTACAGGCTGATGTGATGTCAACTGAAAAAATGTTGCAGTTCCAAAAACATTCACTAGAGGAAGCCAGAGTACTATTTTAGACATGGCTCGACGCTGCTGTTTATACACTTTACTGACGTTGATATATTAGTCAAGATAGCTTGCAGACAGACAGGCAGACGGACAGTCGGACATAAACACACCAACACCAAATTGATTATTAGGTCATCATTGTAAGCCAGCTGTATGACAAGACTTTTAAATATATTTCATGAGTGAGTGTCTGTGAGCCCATGGCATGACTGCTACAAAAAATAAACATTTGTGGTTATATGTTTACACTTAAGTGATAGCTGAGCAGAATTGGGAGGTTGAGTAATGGGGAGTTGGGGGGACACGTGATAACGAGTGGGGAGAGGGGAGTCGGAGAGCAGACAGAAATGCAGACATAGATAGTAAAGGGGTTGCTTAGTTCAACTGGAATGTAGTTTATGTCATCTCAATGACTCACCATAATAGCAACATACACACAGTCACACAAACACATACAGTATGTCATACTACCATTTGAGTCCTCACAGCCAGACTGACTCCCCTTTATGTCTGTCTCCTCTAGTGAGGATTTTGGTTGCTCTATCAGAACTGCTTCTAAATACATTTTAAATTAAATTCATTTTGTTGTACGTTTTTTAAATTTTCATCTGGTATCAATCACTCGTTCCTATTTTTTTCCTGCCCTTTAGAAGTTAAAAAGGGTTTATAATCATCATTTATTTCCTATCAAATCTGTCTCTTTTGTTATTAACACAATATTACTGGGAGCAGAGGCCTCATTTATAAACGTGGCGTACGCTCAAAAGATGGCATACTCCACTCTCAACCTTCCTAAATTCTCCCACACCACTCCGCTCCTCCGCTCCCTTCACTGGCTTCCGGTAACTGCTAGAATCCACTTCAAGACACTGGTACTTGCTTACCATGCTGCGAATGGATCTGGCCCTTCCTACATCCAGGACATGGTTAAACCGTACACCCCAGCACGTGCACTACGCTCTGCATCAGCCAACGACTCGTTGCGCCCTCGCTGCGAGGGGGACCCAAGTTCCCATCGGCGAAAACACGTGGGTTTGCTGTCCTGGCTCCAAGATGGTGGAATGAGCTCCCCATTGACATCAGGACGGCAGATGGCTTGCACATCTTCCGGCGCAAACTGAAAACTCATCTCTTTCGACTCCACTTCGAGCGTTAGAACTACTAACGAAGCACTTTTATACTAATAAAGGACTGGCTTACCTAAAGCCAGTGGAGTAGCACTTGAAATGTTTGGCTCTATGAAACCTGATGTACTTATATGATTCTGTTTTCTTCAAGGTTGTGTCTTCCTGGTCGAATGTACTTATTGTAAGACGCTTTGGATAAAAGCGTCAGCTAAATGCAATGTAATAAAAATAATAATAAAAGTCACCTCTCAAGTCAACTCTCAAGTTTCCTCTCGAGTTCCCTCTCAAGCCCTCTCTCGAGTTCCCACTCAAGTCCCTACTCAAGTGTCGTTGGAGGTTCCGCTGGGGGTCCTGCCAACTCTATGTCCTGTGCCGTTGGAGGCCCCGCCGACTACTCTCCTGCCGGGGGTCCTGCCAACCCTGTGTCCTGTGCCGTTGGAGGCCTCGCCAACTACTCTCCTGCCGGGGGTCCTGCCAACCCTGTGTCCTGTCCCGTTGGAGGCCCCGCCGACTACTCTTCTGCCGGGGGTCCTGCCAACCCCGTGTCCTGTGCCGTTGGAGGCCCCACCGACTACTCTTCTGCCGGGGGTCCTGCCAACCCCGTGTCCTGTGTCGTTGGAGGCACCGCCGACTACTCTTCTGCCGGGGGTCCTGCCAGCCCTGTGTCCTGTGCCGTTGGAGGCCCCACCGACTACTCTTCTGCCGGGGGTCCTGCCAACCCTATGTCCTGTGCCGTTGGAGGTCCTGCCGACTGCTCTCTCCTGCCGGGGGCCCTGCCAACCCCATGTCCTGTTTCGTTGGAGGCCTCGACATCACCTGTCTCGCCGGGGGGTCCTGCCCAACTCCTTTTCCTCTTCCGTGGGGGATCTTGCCGACACCTGTCCCACCGGCTCCGGTTCCTGTCCGGTCAACACCGGCTCCTGCCCGGTCCCCTGAGAGCTGTGGTCTTCGCCCCTCCTCGAACTCTGCCTTCCCCCCGGGCCGTCCGCCCGAGTTCCCCTTTTTGAACTCTGCCTTGCCCCCGGGCCGTCCGCCCGAGACCCCCTCCTCGAACTCTGCCTTGCCCCCGGGCCGTCCGCCCGAGTTCCCCTTTTTGAACTCTGCCTTGCCCCCGGGCCGTCCGCCCGAGACCCCTTCCTGGTCCTCTGCCGTGCCCTGGGCTGTCAGTCAAGGCCCGTCCTCCGGACCCCCTCCATCCACCCTGCTGGACCTTTTGGATTTTTTTTGTTTTTGTTTAGGGACGTCTAGTATCCGTCCCTTGAGGGGGGGGGTTCTGTCAGGATTATTATGTCATGTCACGTGTCTATGTCTAGGTGTGGGTGTTTTTCCGTTCTCCTTGTCATGTTTTCCTCCCTGTATATTGTCTGGTCTCTTTTCCCTGTGTTTTCATGTCTGTCGTTAGTTCCCTGGTGTGTCTAATTTCCTGATTGTTTTCACCTGTCACTCCTTGTGTGTCTCCTGTGCTCATCAGTGTCAGCCCCGCCCCTGATTGTTCCCACCTGTGTCTAGTTACCCTGTGTTTAAATTCCCCTGTCTCCCAGTGTTCAGTGTCAGTTCGTCTTGTCTCTTGCCATGGTCAGGTCTATGCTCTTTTGTGTTCAAGAATAGTTTTGTTCCTCACTACGTGAGCGATTTTCCTTTTGGTCTCATTTTTTGTCATCTCATCCTGAGATTAGTTAGTGACCTTTTTTTGTTCATCGTGTTTTATTGGAAAAATAAAGTATCTTACCAATACTTTATCTCTGTCTCCCTGTCTGCAATTGGGTCCAACATCCTAAGTGCCTGAGATCGTAACAAAATGTTAAATGAAAAGAGCCCTTCTCCCTCCAAAAAGTCCCATTAAACATGCAAATCTTCCTTCAAGCAATCCTCTGCATTTTTGCTAAACCCTTTCAGTCAACGGGCTCTTCCTGGGCCTCATCAACATCCAACTCTGAGTCTTCAGTGTCACTGTCCAGCCTTGTTGAGGATGGCTCTGTGTCAGGCTCAAAGAGCCTTAGGTTTGCACGAATGCCAACCAGTTTTTCCACTCTCACATTTGTGAGCCTGTTGCGAAATTTGTGTGGTCTCAATAGCCATGCAGTAAGCAGTGTGCTATGGCATGGATATTCAAGTGTACTTGAATGACATCTGTTTTTTTTAGTCAAGATTATGCTAAAATATACTTTCCCCAACTATATTTAAGTTCCCTATGAAGAGCCAACCTTCAATTTCGAAAATTCCCAATTTATTCCCATAAATTCCCGTGTATTCCCATGAATTTCCGTGGAAAGTTTCCATCTTTGAAAATTCCCGGAATTTTGCAACCCTACGTGCAATATAGCAGGACAGCGCGCACACGGGCAGAGGAGATGAGATGTGGCTTCTTCCTCTGATGTGTGAGGAGGAGGAAAGAAGCCATCCAAATGTATCACTCTCTATCTAAAGGAGCTTGTGATAACCTTTGTCATAAAAGCCAGGTTAGGGCGCAAAACAGCTGAGCTGCCATCTCCTTGGATCCGGAGACATGACGGAGCCACAGAGAGAGAGC